GACTCCAGCACCATATTTTGACAGTACTGCTAATAGGATGTTGCTGTACACTATGTATACACTATCAAGATTTCAAACTGTCTTAGCATTTCAGACAAAGCAATAAGAAATCCATACATCTATTCTCTTCCACTCGCGCTTATTGGGGTCGCAGGATGGCTGGAGTCTATCCCAGCTATCACAGGGCAAGACACCCTGGACAGGTCGCCAGGGTTACAGGACTAACACAAAGAGACACAATCATTTTCACTCGCATTCACTCCTATGGGCAATTTAGTCACCAATTAACCTAACCCCACTAACTGCATGTCTTCAGATTGGGGAGCTGTAGTACCTGAAGAGAACCCGTGCACACATGGGGAGAACATGCAAACTCCACTCAGAACGACCCCGGGTGGTGGAGTTGAACAGTTTGACCAGTCAGCATTTCCTGTATCCTTCAAGTAGTATGGAGTCCACTTTGTAAGAAGCAATAATGTCAGAAAAAAATCAAACTTAAAATAATAATTTTACCATTTCAAACGTTGAAGTGCAAATAGATTAGAAGGATCACACAGGAAAGGCTCGGTGAGATAGTGAATAAATCTCTGGGGTTCTCTGGCTTGCTTGTGACCTTCTTTTAGAATCCACAGTATTTCATAAGGTAAAGGCTTTTGTATCTAAGTATTCATGGATTAAACCCAACATGCTGAATGGTTTGATGAAAGTCGTCATGTTTAAGGAGCTCTGGTTAATTCTGGATGATGAGGAAGTTGTTTACATAAAGGATGCTTCTGACATGCCAGAGTTAAAGACCGTCCACCAGCACGTTTCACGTATTAACACAGTTTTGATGTTTTTCATGCTGAAAAAGGTAGAAGCGCTGACATTTGCTTTGTTGCTGTGAAACAAAATCCAAAGAGAAGAAAAAGTTTGATGATTCACCACTTGAAAAGACAGAGTGAAAAAATTAACATTTCTCTTCTGCACTGTTAGATAATTAAATTGCCCTATAGTGCTTCTTTGGAGCTTAATAGTTTAAAAATAAAACAGCTCAGTGGTAGGCTTTGCATGAATATTTCCTTAACCAAATTAGTATTGAAATGCTAAAGCATGGTTAATGAAGCCACCTTAGAAACCCCCTTGAATACATCTTCAATTTAATGGATTTAGCAGAGTGATACATGTATGCACAAATATACATGTATATACATGTATACATGTATATACATGTATACATGTATATACATGCCATAATTACTGCAGTCAGGGTGTTTTCTATTAGCTGCTAATCCAAATTGAACAGAATTTGGTTGAAGTGGAGAGGATTCAGTGCCAACACAGTGGGGGAAGAAGACGGATCAGTCATCCATTATTGCTATAGATGCATTAGAGTTGTAACTTGTGGCGTTTGAACAAGTTAAACAAAAGTTGACTGGAGTTCAATAACATTAATTACCGGAAAGCACAAAGTCTAGTCAGTAAGAGCAGCCAATCTGCTGCACTTACTAAAATAGTTTTCAAAGAAAAAGCTCAGTCAGTCAAATAAATCATGTAGCACATGCTTTTACAACACTAAAAGTGTCTCTGCATCATATAATCCCTCAGTGAGACTTTTTCTTGGTATTTTTGGTCACAGTTATACATCTTCAAGAGACTTTTTGTTGAAGGGAAAAATCTCTGGCAGAAGACCTGAGGCTGTTTGCACTGCTTTGTAAACGTCTGTAATATATTTCGTGATTTACAGAATACAGCGTTCAAAGAAACTGCATTCAGCCACATGATAAAGCATATTTGTAGCTCTGTAATATTTGAGCAGTGTCATGCACTGTTCATAAGGCAATGCTAATGTCCCCATCACATGCAGGAGTGGATCTGATAAGGAACAATCAGGTAAAAACAACATGCAAAAAAGCAAAAAAAAATAAATAGAAATGTAAATACAAGTGAACAAAGTTAAATAATCATGTACAGAAAAAAAATGTGACCTTCCTGGAATAGACCTCGAATTGATATGCTTGCTTCTTTGTACTCATATTTACCTGCATGCATGCTGGCACATGTACAAGGAGGGAAAAAATAACCCACAAAACAAATACAATCAATCATTATTTAAATTGGCAGAATTTTACATTTAGTCACCAATGCAAGCCGATAAAGGTAATGTCTGTTCTACAAAACCATATACTTTAATTGGAATGTCGAATGACTCAGCGGGCTGCTGTTTATTTTTTATGCAGTACAGTGTGTAAAGGACTGTTCTTGTTTCACCATCAAAGGGACAAAAAGGAACAGAGATTTTATTTATTGCATTACACTCTTATTTCTCCACATTGGTATTGCCAAGGACAGTCTGTTTCCTCTTCCTGATTACCGTGTACAAAAAACGAAACCACGGGATGAGGTTTCGCATTTTGGTGTATTTTCCCAGTAAAAAGCCGCTTCATTGACATTTCAATTATCCTGTATTCTGTGATATTTTTGTCGCCTTTTGTATCTGATCTACATCAGTTCATGGTGAACGGGTTTTCTAACACAAAAATAAAATAACTAATTCAATAAGTACTGCACTTTAATGCAGCCAGGCTCTCAGGTAATCTGTATTGCTCTTGAGTAGCTACTCTTGCTATTCCCTGCTGTAATCCCTGCTGCATGTATTGGCTTGATTTACTGTTCTGTTTTGCATTTGCCTGAGACCAGGTTTGAAAGGAATTGAGTTGACAGTTCTGTCTAATATCAATCTATTCTGTGTCTTTTGGGGTAAATAAATTCTTTAAATGTGCATGTTTCACCTGTTCTTTCACTTATTTTAATTTATATACACCTTGAACTTACACAAAGAATGTGTTTGTTGATAATGATATTGATTTTTCTCTACAGTCATTTTTAATATTTATTTGAGAACACTGTACAAATAATGGCCATAAAACAAAATAATTGACTACAAACTAAACAAGACTTCTGCCTGTCTTTGAAACCTTTTGCACATTCAGAACATGACTCTAGAGAATCATGTACACTTAAACTATGTTATCAAGCCTGACTGAAAACCAGCACATCGGCAACATTTCCTTATGATTGCAAGCAAAAAGCCGCTTTAGGCATGGATAAAAAGGCTGTATGAATGTGTTTGTAATTGGGTGAATGAGACTCGCTGTGTGTGTGTGTGTGTGTGTGTGTGTGTGTGTGTGTGTGTGTGTGTGTGTGTGTGTGTAGGATGATTAAGGACGATAGAGTGTACCAGTACAGATTTAGTCATAGTATAAACTCATAGTTTGTTTTCATATTTATTCTGGATTAGAAATGACCAGTGGTTGAAGAGTAAAGCCTTTTTCTATTGGAGGGATTCCTCACTGTATTAATAGCTGTGTTCTAAATATTGATCGTCATGACTTAAAGCACAACATTTAATTTCTTGATTGAACTTTAATATCAGTTAAGCTCTAACCATTTCATTGTAATCACGAACAGCATATCAATAAAGGACTGCCATTAATTAAGCCATTGACATTGGATCAGATGATTTGCAGATGGACATGGTGGATCAAAGTCTGATGGTACTTTTCTGTGTTCATAATTCCATCGATTTTTAACAGGATCTACAACGCCACCGGATGAAACGCAGTCCCAAGCCTGTCAAGGCCTGATACTCAGAACTATGAACCCTGAATTCTTGCCACATGATCTCTTTCATTTTGTTATCAACAACCCTTCAAATTAAAAACAAGAACAAGATCTGAAAGTCTACTAAACTTTGGATGCTTATCTGTATTTTGTGTCAGGATGGATGACAACCCCCAGTCACTGTGCCTAAAACGGCATGACCGCAGTTTCAAGCAATGTGTGCATGGCATCACATGAGAAGCTTGAATACACTCCACAGACATCCAATTCCTTAACCACTTATCCATATCAGAGTTGTGGTTAGGGCTGCAGGCGAGCTCAGTGAAGGTACCCCACTGGACTGACCATCTCAGGTCCTTTAATGCATATTTTTACTGCAAAAAAAAATTCCTCCATGTTATTTCTTTTGTTACTTTTCTCAATGTGTACATTCTGTATTGGTTTTTAGTTTTGTACATTGTGTACTGGCTTTTGAAAAAGTTTGTTGATCTTGTTTTTGAAAAGTCCCATATGGCCTGCTTGCTTCCATCTGTAGGTACTGTTTCAAAAGAAGATCAGTTTCTTTGTTTTCAAACAAGAACGGCTTCTGTAGGAGGTACCAATCAAATCACGCCTCTATATAAACCCATGTAATTATCGCTGCCGTCATGTCTTGAAGCATTTCCATGGGTAGCAACACTTCTTTCAGCTATTTTTGCAATCTAAAGTGGAGAAGCAGTAAAATAACAGAAAATGGAAAATCCTAAAGTATAAAACAACCTGTACAATATGTGTAGTAGATTAAAAGATTGAACCTAAAGTTAGACAAATCGCAGAATAACACTGATCAAACGTCCAAAAATAAAAGCCCACAGAAACATGCATTTAGTATTTTGTTTGCTTCTTTTGCTTCAGTAACATAGCTGCAGTGCAGGTCTGTTCCTACAGGAGAGAGGAGGTGTATGTGCACTGATTTGGACTCTAAACCCCCTCCCAGAAGGATACAGTATGCACTTGCATTGACTTGAAGTGTAACCCAACAACAGCACTGAAAATCATTCAGAAGTTGCATTGAAATATCAACTTCATTTCATTATCACAGCACTGCTGGTCTACATCGAGTCACATCTACAGTAAGCGCTGAAAGATGGAGCTTCTCACATACACAATCTTCATCAGCATGTGGGAAGCTCAGTGCTGCTGGCTGCTGCTGCCACCAGCCCGCTGTGAGCGAGAGCAGGCTGGAAATCGCTGAAAGTGGCTGCGTGTCGTGTCAACACTGTCAGAGCTAAAGAGGAAGTTCCTTATCTCTCCCCTCTCTCCCTCGCTCTCTCTTCCTTCCCCTCCCTCTCTCTTCTTCTCCCTCTCTCTTTCTCTCTCACCCGCTCCTTCCCTCTCTCTCTCTCTCACAGCTCAGCATCTCCACTCTCACGTTGCGTAAACTCACCGATCTGATGCTCCACAGAGGCACCATCCAGTCCATCTGAGGTGGAAAAGATTTGAATCACAGATAACGCTAGAGGTGAGTCATTTTTGAATCTCTGTCTGCCCCACTCTTTATGTATTTCCAGCACAGCTCAAAAGGCATCCTGTGTTTTAATTATCTCTTTTATCAAAGCCAACGCAGATACATAATTAGATGATATTACGGGATGACCAGAACCTATGATTTTATCACTGTCACTACTTTATTATTATTATTATTATTATTATTATTATTATTGTTATCCTCTCAGATATCTGTATGATATTTGTGTGAAATCTGTGTTACAAAGTGAAGTGAATCTACTGAAAATCAGTGTAGATGTTGCAGCAGCGTGATAAACGTCATATTTGGACAAGATTTATTTGTTTATTTCTTTATTGTCAGACTTGATTCAACTACCAGCAGCTTCATCCAAATCCATAAATCGCACTGCATTATATTCTAAACTTGTACGTCATCAACAAGTCTGCAGCCCCCTAGTACACACTTTGCTGATTTTAAACTCTGCAGCCCAGTAAACACACTGTACAGCAAAGTTGTCACCTAAGCTTCTGCCTCAAAGCTGTGCAGCGACACCTGCACTCAGTCATGAAAGAAGCTGGCAGGAATTTTATCCTGCATTAACTTTGTCTGTTGGGAACTGAAGCTGAGTGGTTATATGCATCGATTTCTTTTGCTTTTGTTATGATTTGTGCAGGAAATGAATTGTGCAGCATTGATTTTACACCAGTGTTAGAGCCTGAGTCAGATAAGGTCTCTCTTTACACTGCTGGAGCTACTTCCTATGGAAACACAAAGCCAGATGCTGCTTAGTCCAATGGCACACTGCCAGATGTTCAATTGCTGCAACGCTTAAGTTCCTGCATCCATGCATTGATCACAGTGTCACATAACTCGCTGCCAGGAAAAGCTGTAAGGAAGTTTCATTTCAGCATGCTGCTGCCCAGCTGCTGGCAGTTTATGTGTGTGTTATGTCAGCCTTGTGTGTCACTTAATTAGAGCAGAAAAAAGCAACACTCAGTAAAAGCTGATTCATTAAAATTAAGAAAACATGACAGATTTCCACCTTCATTTTGAAAGAGATGTCCTGATTTCTTTGGTCTAATTGTCACTGTAATAACTGTCTGGAAGAAATATGATTTTCTCACTGAGCTTAGTCACCACAGGGGCAACGCAGCAGCAGCGAGCGTCTCTCTGTGTGAGACAACGAGCTGCCTTTTCATTGACTGACCCAGCTGCAGCTTCTGATAAATACATCTCCTGCTGGGGGAACAAAAACACGCCTCCGTGCACAACTATTATTTGGTTTGCATTATGCCCCGTTCATCTCTTCTACATGGGTTTCTTTGGCATCTGTGAGTCTATGACGAGTAACTGCATTGAAGCTCATGTAGCTAGAGACTCAAAAGCCTCCGCTGGCTTTGACAGAACACGCTGGCGAAATAGCCGCGTGGTTATTACTTGTACAAAGACACAGATAGGGATCGGCTTTCAGGCAGGGCTGAGTGATTCAGTTTGATGATTTACAGAATTTAATTAATTTAAATGACTTATCCATCAAAGATTGTGATGGGCCGTTCACGTCAAGGTTTCGTTAGAAGTCTCACGTCTGCTGTCTGCCAATAGAGGGGATTCATGCATTAATGTAATAAAGTGCGTTAGTTTGTTAGGAATTATTAGCCATAACCAAATAGTCTGTAAAACCTTTCCCAGCTGTAAGCAAATATAGTCCAATGATCTATATCTCTGTATAGTTACTGTGCAGCTTCAGTCACCTGTAGAAATCATTTTTTTGTGTTTTAGTCACTGCAAGATTTCTTCTGTTGCTATATTCATTTAAATATATAGCAACAAATATAGCTATTATGTTACTGATAAGTTCTTTCAGTAGAACTGAGGACTTTATTATACAAATGAACAGAATTTATAGGCATCTTGTTGGCTGTAAATAGGCAAATAGAAATTTTTATTTTCCAGAGTTTCATGTGCTTGAAGGATTTTTCAAAAACATTTCTCTAAAGATCAGAAACATCTGTACTTTATGGAATTAAATAATTATTTTATGCCTTTCATTTGATGCTGTGACTGTCCCTTTCAGCCGTGGCCATTAGTAGTGTTTACATGATGCTGACAGGTTTTTAAGCACTGGGAAAAGAAAATGTAAAATAAGGCAGAAATGAGCCCAGAAAAGGAGGCTGGAGGAAGAGGTAACCCAGCAATTTCCTCAGCAGCCTGTCTCTGTATTTCACCGTGCCGCACCCCTGTCAGAAAGACTGAGCGTGATCCTATCAGTCATGATAAAAAGGTTTCATGTACGTTGAGTCTTTGCTAAAGTCTACAGTGTAGTATCAAGGACACAATGCAAAGTCATAACAGTATTAATATGTGGTATAACAGACATTCTCGTCAGCTATCTTGACACATAATTTAAATAATCTTTTAAGTGTTTCTTTTGCTGCTCACAAGTAGTTAATTAGCAAAAGACTTCAAGCAGGCAGGGTTAGGTTATGACTTGAATGGTGATGGTGCTGTTACTTTGGGGGATTTGTCTGAGAGGGAAAGAAGAAAAAGAAACTAACAGTATGTTTGTGATAATGTAGCCATGGAAACCTTTGAAGAGGCTCCTGACCATAGTGAATTTGCTATCATCCACCCCGCTGTGATTGGACACGGTCACATCATGAGATCAGATGCAGATTGAGATTGTCAGTGTTTTGCTCGGTTAGTCGGGGATCAGAGCGAGAGGAGCTCCGCCGGCGGCACTTGGTCTCTGTTTCACCGTGAGCTGTCTGAGCCCCGTGTTCTGCCTGACGCTCCTTTCAGTCAACAATAGCAATCAGACAGCCTGAAATTTGACACGTTCATATACATGTTGTATATACCATAAGGGAAAAGACTCTGTACCTTATAATGATTAAGGTACAGAAAATAAAAGCACATATTCTTGATATTTTTACTTAAAGGAAACATGAAGCTTCATTTGCATTACTCACATGCTCATAATTGTGTTTTTGAGCAAGGCCAGACAGGCATTGAGCAGCAATAAAACAGTGTGGAGGAAAAATATGCACCTCTACTGATTGTTTCTTTATTAACACTGACAAATACAAAACCAGGCGTGTGTTAAAATTCAGCCCGCACGGCGCATATATGCATATGAAATGAAGTCCACATTGTAAAGCTTTAAGTGCGCCAAACGCTCATTAACTAAATCTGTAAAAAACATTATGTGATGTTGTAATTGTGCTTGTGTGGTATGGACAGTGGTTTCCTGCTTCATGGCATATGAGTCATACTTATGATCTTTCTTCAGGCTGCTCCCTTATTCACACGGGGCCACCACAGCAGGTAGCTCCACATATTTGAACATTTTTATGCCAGATGCCCTTCCTGACACAACCTCAAAGGAATTTGTGTCTCCTCCCAAGATCAAATCACTGAGCTTTTGCTTGTCCTGTGTCATTTCAGAGCTATCAAGCTAATAAGCCACTTTAAACATTTGCTTTCTTGATCATAAAGTACATTTTTAAAGCATTGACAGCGGGGACAAAAACCAAGCAAACAGGGATGTGTCATGTAAGGCCAAGCACTGCAATATAATAGGAATACTGCTGCTTAGATACTGATGTGCAAAATGAATTTGCTGGCCTGGAGTTTGTTTCGGTGTTTACTTATTATCAGAATTAATCAGAATGAAAAAAAAGTAAAACAATGAAAAGCAATTCTCCATTAAGCAGAAGTGTATCGAGTGAGACTCCCAATTAGCCGAACCTGATCGACCATTTACCTTGGACACAATATCATCAATCAAAAGCTTTCAAAACACGCCCTCTAAAAGGAAAAACTGGCAAATTATTGGAAATTGGAAACGGGAAAAACAAGAACTACGTCGCAGATGCTGAGACGAACATACAGAGCGCCTAACAGAAAAACAGTTACAGGATGAGGAGCTCTGAAAGCTGAATCCTTGTGCTTTTGTCATTAAAATGTGTGTACTAAAGGTACTCACAGCCAAATATACTTGGCTGATAAAAAAGAAACTAATAATTATTTTTATTTTAAAGGACTTTTGAAAACATTGTTAGAAAAACTGGAAATATCAAGATGTACATAAATACACGCACACACTGACAGCCAAGTGAATGATTGAGGTGCAATCATCTTTCTTATGTCACCTAAATCACACCTACAGGAATGAACCAACAGGCTGTGACCTTGTTGATTCGTTCCTTTGGTCCAATGTGACTGAAATATGGAAAAATGGATGTGACGGTAAGCTCACAAGAATCTAGCGGCCTTGAATGCTCAGACACTTACATTTTTTCTATTCTAAAAGTCAGCATGGGTGGATCTTTAAAGGTTACATGCACGGAGGATTCATTTTGACGAATATGACAAATGATGAAAATGGTGTCCCCATCTTCGTGGTTGCTAAGGTGAATATGGCACTCGTTGATCTCACCAATTTTTATGACTTTGTTTGCTGCACAAACTGCTATAATCTTTCTGTCATTTCTTCATATAAGTCAGGGTAACATTTATTTATTTATTTATTTTGCTTCAACCATATTTTTCACACCTTTCCTCTCCGTGTGTCTTGGGAGAAGATGAAATGCCAGCAACCTTTGCAAACGGTGGAGATTCGCAGGTGTTTGTGCGTCTGTCATTACCGCATGCGATTAGATTTAATTACATTTGTGCCGGTGCGTATAATTGTTGTTGTCTTGCTCTTTGAAAGGATAACGTTAGGTACCTGAAAGTACATAAGCTGCCACTTGAAGACGGTTGTTTTGTATTTTGATGTCATCTCCCAGATAAATACTGAAATAATGTTCTACCCAAACTATACAGGAGTTTAGTAGCTGTTCTTGTATTTCATTTTTGGCATTCAGTTCACAATAATGATAAATCTGAATGTGTGGGCTGAGAGGTGTTAGCTGTAATATTCATTCATTTGCGGTTATTTATGGATTTTTGCTCTGGTTATCAGGTACAGTGGGGCAAAAAAGTATTTAGTCAGCCAC